ACCGCCGCCGGTCCCCGAAGCACTCCTCAGTCTCGAACTTCCTGGTTGTGGGAAGGAGATTGAGGGCAGAGGAACTATAGGCTCCTTCTGCCGTCAATCAACCTGTTGGGCAGAGAGGAGGGGCGTGGTCTGCCGCAAGGATGGATGTGTCTATGTGCGCACACTCCCACTTGCGGGCATGGCCGAGGACAAGCATGCAGGGTGCCTCCATAGCAGCCACTTAGCTGATGAAGGCACCTGTGCAAGGGGTGGAGGAAGAGCGCTGCGGGGGCCCACTAGAGAACGAGGAAATTACATTTAATGAAAAACAACAAGGGATTTCTACAAGTATGGGCCTCCCATTTATAAAAATAAAAAAAATAAATGAAGCTTTAAAATAACTTTAATGACGTAAAACAGATGTGATTAGACAAAAGGATGGGGGGTGGTGACAACCAGGTACCAACTCATCGCTAATAATAACTGGTCGCCATTAATAATAATGCATCACATGTATTAATTTTATCATCATTGAGGCTCGTAACAGAAATAACTTTGTTTTTATCACCTGAAAATGAAATATCCCAGCATAGTTTTCGGTGAAGTTTTGGTCTGGAGGTATGACACGGAAAAGTAACTTTTCATTGAGGGTTAGACAAGCAATGGCAGCCAAAAACCAGCAGTCACCTGGGGATAAAAATAATAATGGTTACATGACTGTGTTTTTTTCTGTTATACTAACAGTTACTGGTTGTTTAATCCATGACTGAATTATTCGAAAGCAGCACGTAACTAACACCCACCTAATAAACAGACATTTGTGTGTTGTGGACTGCATGAATCTGTTAATGCATCATGTTCAGAATCGGATTTCGTTAAACATGGTCATGCTGTGTCCAGATTGTCAATCTTAATCTGTAACCTGAGGCATGGAAGTTTACAGGTGTCCAGTCACTGCAGAAAGAAATCCTTGCCATGGAAGCATGGCATCGCACACATTCTCTGCATCTCGACAGCCCGATATATAAAGCCGGCCAGGGAATATGAGTCAGTCTTTTCAGACATCTGATATGAAGACAGAAATGTGTATGCATGTGTACTAAAGTGGCAGTTTTTCATCTTATATATTTTATAGAAGTTTAAAGTGACACTAAACTCATGAGTTAAACTATAAAAATGAGGTAAAAAGCAGTGAAGCGCCACAAACTATCAATCCTCAATGGGAAATCCTCTTGGGCATGCTGCAGGATGCTGCCCCAAAAAAGCCGGGAAAGCTGAGAGTCTGGAAAATAAGCACAAAGGGGGCGCCTTTCCTGGCGCAGGTCAATTTTATTTCAATGAACACAAAGTAAAAACAGAATGGTACTCACAAACATGAGTGTCACACAGCCATGGAATGAAAGCTGACAAGCAGTAAGACATCCACTGGGCGATTCCTGTGTGTAGTGACGTTAACGCGTTTCAATAACGCGTTTATTGAAATAAAATTGACCTGCACCAGGAAAGGCGCCCCCTTTGTGCTTATTTTTTAAACTATAAAAATGCATTCAAGTACCCTATTTATTACCAAAACTAGCTTATATGTGTATCACTCGGCTTTCATCCTCAAATCCTCTCTGAATTTGTGCCAACACTGTCCTTCCTTCTGGAGAGTGGCTACTTTTGTTCCCCATGGTCCCTGTGTGTATTGTAATGTAGCAACTGTTCCAAGCTCACTCCTGTGATGGTCTACAATCTCACATTTAGTTTACTAATTTGCATTGAGATTGTAGTCCATCACAGGAAGGAGCTTGGAGTGGTGGCTACTTTACAACACACACAGAGACCATTGGGAACAAAAATAGCCACCCTCCAGAAGGAAGGACAGTGCCAGCACAAATTCAGAGATGATTTGAGGATGTACAGACAAGTGATACATAAAATAGTTATGTTAATGGAGTGCTTGAATGTATTTTTAAGATTTTAACCTGAGTTTACTGTTATTTTATGACTGGAGAAAAATGATGCTGGATCATGGCATTTTATTAGATCCATGTACTGAATGGCCATCCAAAAGTAGTGTATTTGGATGTATGTAGGAGGGAAGAAGAACCAAAGAACATGCAGGGTAGGATAGGGAGTCCACGTAAGATGACCCAGGAGAAGGACTATCCCGTGATGAGCCCAGGGGTATCTCAACAGGCCAGAGTCAAAGTTTAAATTGAAATATACAGTACTGTGCAAAAGTTTTAGGCAGGTGTGAAAAAATGCTCTAAAGTAAGAATTATTTTCAGAAATAAAAATGTTATTTTTTTATCAATTAATAAATTGGAAAGTAAATGAACAGCAGTGTTAATTTTGATGGCAAATTTCAATTTGGTCTTAGTTTTAGTCTTTTGACTAAAATGCCATTTTAGTTTTAGTCGTATTTTAGTCATAGTGTGGATTTTTACTTTTTAAATTAAAGAGGACAGCAGCCAGTGCCCAAGGTTGAATAGGGCCCCACGGCGGGGGTGGGTGGCCTATGCCACCATCCTTTGCCACCGTCCTTTGCCAGCGTCAGGCCTCTATTCAGCCTTGTGTATCAGCTGCTGTCCTCTTTAATTTAAAAACTAAACTGGCCACCAGAGAGCCCACAGTGGTCACCAGAGAATCCACGGGGATCACTCAGCCCGGCGTCCGGGGGGGTCACTCAGCCCGGCGTCTGGGGGGGGTCACTCAGCCCGGTGTCCGGGGGCGTCACTCAGCC